TTCAATTTGTAAAATAAAGCAAAAGCAACACCTGTGAAGCGAAATGAAATGAAGCACCATAAAATGAGGTAACGCCTGCAAATACTGCTTGATGGCTGCAGGAGTTTAGAACACTTCAACTTGGACTCGAGATGGGAGCCTACAGTGTGCAAGTTGCTCCAACGAGGTAGGGAAAATGCGGGGCAGAGGAAACTTGAGTGACTAACAAGAAGTACCATGAGCCACCCTTGACCGTAATCGAACCCAGGACCCTTCAGTCCGCGGGCCGGTGCTCTGCCCACTGAGCCAAACTGGCCATGGCGATTTCATTGATGTATGAATTACTCAGGTTTCTAATCACTAAGTTTTCACAATATGTCTGGGATACGGAAGGTGCTAGAAAATGCCAGTGTTGTGGATAGTGAATGTGTTTCAGTAACTTCCCCTCCAGCAAGTCCCACCTGAACAGAGAAGCAGATGGAAACAGTTATTTCTACTGTGAAGGTCTGTGCCTGTCACCGATGTGTTTGGGAGATATTTACATCGAATCTGTCCCTCCTGCCAATGGACACTGGTCTTTTCCTCAGGAAATAGAGGCGTCTCCACTTCCTAAAGACATTCAGAAGACCTATGGGTAGCTAGGTCCTACTTAAACTGCCTTAGAATCTGTGACTACACAGAAAAAGTAAAAAGACGAAATACCATGTGGGTCACTTGGCTGTTTTCTAGGTAGTAATTGACTGTCACGATGCAAAAGATTGTCATAACCCATATGGAGGAGATTGTGATTATTTTTAATTCTTTTTACTCAAATTTCCCGCTGCATTTTTAAAGAAGCAATAAATTGACCTTGTTCAAACATGCAATCTGAATCACTTCTTTTGAAACTAAACCTTTGTTCATTACTAAGATTTATAGTTTTCTTCTTCCTTTTCAGTACATATTTCTCTAGCAACCATGCAACTGTTGCTATCACTTCCTGAAACAAAAAAGGAGGTTCCGAAAGTCAAAGTAGTGATCTTGAAAGTATTTCAGAGGAGATCCTTATTTGGGATGAATTTGGTTGTGCTGTCAGCCCTGTGATTTGGGTTGAACTCTTCTTTTTTATCCATTGTCAGTGCTCATTAATGCTTAAAGACAGCATTCTTTCAAGAGTGGCTTTGATGTGCTTCCTGTCGTAGCTCTGATGTTCGGCTGACCATTTCATCTCGGGAGGAGCAGGGTAGGAGATGGTGATGTGCTTGCTGGCCGTGGTAGGTGCAGTGCTGTGGGGACAGGCTCACCCTGCTGGTGACACGTATCTGAGGCAGGGGGCCAGCCGGGCTTCAGACTGCTGGTTTAGCACCTGGTCTTGCACCGCCACACTGGCCAGCCAGAGCAGCCCCAGGCCTGAGAAAAGCACCGCGGATGAAGGATGGGATCTAATTCAGTGGAGTGGCAGTAACGGGAGAAGGGTGGCTTTTTATCTCCCCTCTAACCCTCTCTGCTTTTTCTCTTGCTTTTCAGACGCCTTAGCTTCTTGGACTTCCCTTTGCAGTGTGACAGTCCTAGCTGAGCAGTTACTTCCCCTGAGGGACTGATAAGCCTTTGACCAAGGTGGGTTTTGAGGACGTTTGTTGCTCACCTGTAGAAACCAAGCTGCTCATTGACAGCAGCACAGACAAGGAGTCAAGTTCAGGAGTCGTTTTTTCCTATATTTGGGAGGGAAAAAGCACTGTGAGGAATACTTGTCTGTTCATTGGAACAGATGTTTAATGTGCTTTTGCCACAAGGATTTAAACAGAGGCACTCACTTAGCAAGAGATGGAAGGCTTGCTGCTTAAGGTGCCAAACCTCGTCCAGTGGTTCCACTGTTGGTTAATATCTTAACTGAAAAAAAAAAATTCTAGCAAAATGGAACTCACAAAACACACACATACAAAAGACTCCTGTGGGATTTTTTTAACTTTCCCTGGTGAAATGTGTAACTGTGACATGTGTCTAATTCGGAATTCTATCTCCACATACCTCTGTTTTTAGTGTAAGTAGAGAATAAGTATCAAAGACTAACGGTGTATTGTATACAGCCAAGCTTTCAGATTAAGATGAGCCTTTAGAAATTCAGTATTTCAAACGTACGCAGTGAGTTGCCAAAACTGGTAACACCCTGGTGCAGACGCCTTCCCTGAAGGATCCCACACCGAATGCAGAAAACATCCTCTTTGGAGCCCGTGGGACCGGGTGCAGGTGAGTGAGCGGCACAGTGAAACTAAAAGGACGGCAGGACAGCGTCCCTGTCCTCGGCTTCAGCATCTCAGAAATACACTCCCGAGTGCAAACCTAAATCGAATGTGCTTCCTCGCTTCCCTCGTGTGGAGCAGAAAAGCTCAAAAGCTAAGGGTTTCCTTCGACAGGTCCTGCTCTGACTGGCGACGCGGGTGATAATAACTGGGACTATTTTGGGAATAACTTCCTCATTATCTCAGTTAAACCTTCCAGCAAAACTGTGCCTATGGCACTCAATAACTACTTTTTCATTTTTAAAAAACCTCTTCTGGCCCTGGCCAGTGTGTCTCAGTTGGTTGGAGCTTGGCCCATGCCCCGGAAGGTTGAGAGCTCGGTGGCAGGCTGGATCCCCAGTGTGGGGCATGCAGGACCTAGCTTGCCCGTTCATTCCCTGGTCGGGGCATGTAGGAGGCAACTGATCAATGTATCTCCCTCACGTCGCTGTTTCTGTCTCTTCTTGACTCCCTCTCTAAAATCAGTTTTTAAAAATCTCTTCCGTGTCACTTTTTGGGTTCAAGTTGTCAAGGCCCCTGTTTTTCTACCCATATTATGTCCTACTCAGTAACTGTTTATGGAATGAGTGAATAAATCTGCTATTTTTATATAACTAGAGAATTTTATAACACCAACGAGAAATCGCAGAATAACTAAAAGCAGGACTAAAGAAGTTTTAAAAATGCCCTTCATCTGGATTTTAAATGTGAATTTTTTCTTTTTAATATATTTTATTGATTTTTTACAGAGAGGAAGAGAGAGGGATAGAGAGTTAGAAACATCGATGAGAGAGACACATCGATCAGCTGTCTCCTGCACACCCCCTACTGAGGATGTGCCCGCAACCAAGGTACATGCCCTTGACCGGAATCGAACCTGGGACCTTTCAGTCCGCAGGCCAACGCTCTACCCACTGAGCCAAACCGGTCAGGGCTAAAGTGAATTTTTTCTTACATTTCAATCCTTGAGCTCCTGAAAACAGGAAGTCCCATCTTACCATTTAGCAGACACTGAAGTGCTGGTCAGAGTGACTGCACACTCACCAGTTGCGAAGGAAGTAAAGATGGTGTTACCAGCCAAGTTGTTGAGGAGAAGTTGACTGCAGTACAGAGAAGAGCTGGGCCTAAAATTCAATCCACTGGGTTACACATTACTTACTACTGATCAGAAGAGATCAGCTATAAGCGTGACACCAGAAGGTGCTGCGACCCGGGGATTTTAACCCTAACCTGGCACTAGGTTCATTGGGCTCCGGGCAGCTCACTTCTCTTAAGGACCTTAGTTCCTTTAGCATGGCTCAAATTAATGCTGTCAGACAGCCCACCAGTAGCATTGAGTTATTAATAGTCATAGTTGGTGGACAAATAAAGTTTGCCATTTTTCTAATTCATGTGAATTTGCTATTTTGGTGAAATATTTTTGTGGAGCCCAACCGGTGTGGTTCAGAGGTTGGGCATTGACCTATGAACCAGGAGGTCACGGTTCAATGCCATGGTTGCGGGCTGGATCCCCAGTGTGGGGCGTGCAGTAGGCAACCGATCAATGATGTATCTGTCATCAGTGATGTTTCTGCCTCTCCCTCTCCCTTCCATTCTGAAATCAATAAAAATATATTTTTTTAAAGAAAGGAAAAACAAGAAAAATATTTGGTGGAAATTCCAGCTTTTCAGAGTAAGGGAATATGCTTTACTGCGCACAAACATCCTATAATAGAAGCCGGCAGGTTTGAAGTCGGCCAGTTACAGTGTCACAGTTCCCGTCCTTTCTCCGTCCCTTAAGCGGGTTCTCCGTTTTCAGGTACTTGTCGAATATCAATGTTCTCACAACTGCAATTCTCTTATTTGGAATGTGCCAAATTGCGTTTGTTTCATTTGTCCAATAAGAAAGTTAACTGATTTTTTTTTCTGCCAAGACTAATTTCCAACGTAGAATCTAAACTAACATAATCAAGGCATAATCTGGTCGAGTGTGCCTTTGTCGCCCTCAGCCCTACAGACGTCAAGTAATGCAGGGCTGTTGGGACTGCTCTGTGGGGAATAAATAGAGACGTTGGTTCCCCATTGTCTCTTCTTATGAAATTAAACTCAGTCTGCCCAAAGCCAGTGATTCTCACTGTATTGAGATTGTTGACTTTTCCAAGAAGTGAAGTGGGTGACTCCCGTCGATGATCCGGGCAAACACAATGGGGCAGACTGCAATTAAACACGTGACAGGAATCGCAGAGAGCACGGGAGCCACCCCCACAGCTGAGACCCAGACCGCCCGGCTGCCAGGTGAGGGCTTGGCCGATGAAAGAACTTACCTGAGCAGAACGTACAACTGGAGAGCCAGAGTGGCGATCGTAGACAGGAACACGGTTGCTCGGCTGCACGGGACACAGTGAGTTACACTTTACACAACCACTTCGTGATGAACTGGCTTCCAGAAACCAAAGCCAGGTTCTGTTTCAGGATAAGGTAGCATTAAACCACAGAGGCAGAGTTTTACACATAGCAACGACGAATTGAGATCCATCCCGTTAGAGCAAAATTATGTCTAAGAATACTCCAATAAGAATATTAAAAGTGCCTTGCCCTGTGTTGCTCAGTGATTAGAGCATCGGCATACAGACAGAAGGGTCTAGGGTTCAATTCTTGGTCAAGGGCATGTTCCTGGGTTGCAGATTCGACCCACATGTGGGAGGCAACCAATCAATGTGTCTCACATCTATGTGTCTCTCCCCCTCCTTCCCTCCCTTCCACTCTCTAAAAATCAATGGGGAAAATGTCTGTGGGGGAGGATTAACAAAGGTAAGAGGGGAGGGAGGGAGGGAGGGAGGAGGGAGAAAGGAAGGAAAGAAGGGAGAAAGGAAGGAAGGAGAAAGGAAGGATATTAAAAGTAGCTACCGTTATTCAGCTCCTACTATGTCACAGGCACTGTTGATACTGATTTCTAAGGAGTCTTTAGAACTTTGGTTCCTTTTTCATGACTAAATTAATGTGCTAAGGCAATCCACAGGTAATAGCATGAGTTATTAATACTCAGTAGACAAATGTGTAAAAAAATTTTACATGCATTTTCTCACTTAATATGCACAAATCCTATGAGGTAGGGACTGTGGTTCCCCATTTTATAGATGAGGAAACCAAGACTCAGATTAAGTGTCTTAGGACAAACACCTCGTAGTAAGAGGTAGAGCTAGAATGTGAGCCAGGTCTGAGAGTCCTAACTGGGCCCCTCTGTAGTGCTACCTCTGCCTCCAACCAGATGGTTCACGCTGAGCATCACTTATAAACTGCGGGTTATCCTACCGACCACAACTTAACCACCAAGTGAAGTCTGCTGTTACTGCTCAGACATTTTGGAAACATTTACAGTTACATGTATATAGTTTCTGTGCATGAGAAAATCTTCATCATTAACTAGTAGTTGTAGCTCTTCACCATAAACTCTTTTAGTCATTTTTTAAAAATATATTTTATTGATTTTTTACAGAGAGGAAGGGAGACGGATAGAGAGTTAGAAACATCGATGAGAGAGAAGCATCGATCAGCTGCCTCCTGCACACCCCCAACTGGGGATGTGCCCGCAACCAACACACATGCCCTTAACCGGAATCGAACCTGGGACCCCTCAGTCTGCAGTCCAACGCTCCATCCAGTGAACCAAACCACCTAGGGCTCTTTTAGTCATTTTTATTATTTACTTTATTAATTGGGTTTAGCACTGAATGCCTTTAGGGTGTTTGTAGAAATCAAATTTACCCTCCAGAGATTTATCCCCAGTGAAGGTCCTGTTATACCCCCAGGTTATTGAAAGCAGTGGCATGTTGTTAGAACTAGAATACAGTTACATGCTTAAAGGTATGTTTTAAAAGGAACAGCTTCTTAGAGGTGTAAATTCCAGAGGTTGTCAAGTCAGCCCCATTATTTGAGTCGGCGAATGCAGCACCCTGAAATGTGACAAAAGCCACACAATTCCTGTTCTTTCTGGAAAAATGAATGTTCTACACACTGGCTTCATGTTTAGAAAATGTTTCATTACTGTTTACACATCAGTGTTTTTAAAACCTAAGAAGGTCCGTGAAATCGAACTTGAAAATGGAAAGTACATGTTCGTTACACGTCAGGACCACCTCAGAAAGAAATGATGTTCGTCACACTGGGCTGGGAGGGACACTTACCGCCTGAGCTGGTGAGACCTAGGCCGCCAGCAGTGCACCTGGTAGACCGAGTGGGCCAGACGGAAGTGGATCATGGCGACACCTGTCCTCGAGCACCTGGAGCAAGGCAAGGCGGAGCCCAGACAGGCCTGTTAGAGCTCCCAAACCACCTCTCGCAGCGGCCCCTGCCCGCCCCTTCCCTGCACAGGTGCCTGTGGGCTGCAGGGGAGGTCCTCTCCCGAGAGGGGCAGGTCCTTTTGTTTTTAAGCCGCCCTGGGCTATGGTCGGAGCTCACTGTAACTTAAGTCTCCTTGGCTTTGAGGGTCTGACCTCAGGTTGGTGGTGTTCACGGTGGATCAATAGGACTGAGTGAGACATCTGAGGCAGGTCCTGACTGACAAGGGAGAAAGCTTTCTTTAAGCTGAGAGATCAGCTTCCCCAGCCCTTCCCCTGGGAGTCCCTGGAACCTGAGCGCATCCCCAAGGCCAGGGCGGGCTTCGAGCTCTTTGTTCCATCCGTCCCTGTGCAGCAGGCGGCTCCCCTGGGCACCAGTCCCTCCTGACCTCAGTGTCCTGTTCTTCCAGCTCCAGCTCAGTCTCCCTGGGGGAAGGTACCTGAAACCTGAGATGGGTGGGGCTGGAATTGACACCTGGCTCCGGCTGAACCCAACCCCTCAGTTCTAAATAACAGGCGTTCCCCACGGGAGGCAGAAGACCACGCGCAGACCACGCGCAAAACAGTTCAGTTCAGTTTTCAGAACTGAAGGTGATGCCTTCGAGCTGGAAAGGGCCTGCTCAGTGTCCAGCACAGGGGAGGGTAGAGCTGCACCACAGGGCCTCACTGAGATTTCAGAGCACTGGGCAAAGGGCAGATCTCACGGGCTTCAAGGGAGAAAATAAACATCACACTTAGAGGATCCAGAATGGAAAGTGACTTCGGCCCAGCCGGTGGGGCTCAGTGGTTAGAGCGTCAGCCAGTGCACCAGGGAAGGGCACATACCTGGGTTGTAGGTTCGATCCCTGCCCCCTGTCGGGGCGTGTAGGAGGCAACCAATCGATGTGTCTCTCTCACATCGATGTTTCTCTCCCTCCTTCCACTCTGAAAATCGGTGGAAAAAATATCCTCTAGAGGA